TCGAAATCATAATGAGAAAGATTACACAAGAAAACCGCACGAGACACTAATCCATGACACGAAACCCTTGTCCTCTGTTTCCTCCATATCCCAACCTTCCTCTAGATCTTCCAGGCATGGGGAAAAAAGAGGAGACACAGGGAAAAGCAATCTGCTTGGCCCAGCCGTCTGCTGTTCCTGAAATTGCTCCTCCTATTAATTTAGCAAGTGGCAGTAAATGAACTAGAAAAAATATCTTTGTGGAGTAATGTGCACAGGCACTCTCTTCGGCTTGCATTCCTCCAATATCCTGCCCCCTCTCGTGGGCCTGCAGTTATGCTATGACACTCGTTGATTGTAGATGCTCCGTGCCGTGGGGATTCACAACTCGTTGATTGTGAATGCTCCTGTATCGCACCGTGGGAAGGTAACTCGTTGATTGTAGATGCTCCTATATTGCACCATGGGGATCGGAACTGGTTGATTGCGGATGCTCCTATATCGCGCCATGGGGATCGGTGGCTCACAAAGTCTTGGTATTGTGACCCCTCGTCAACACCACACATCTGCTTGTGTTTTTGTTGGTGATGGTACTTCTGTGTATACTGGCTTATCTTCGCCTTCCTCTTCGGCACCCATTTTCTTTCTACTACTGTTATTGTATGGTTTTCGGCCTGGTTTCCCTCATCAATGGGGTCAACTTGTTTAGGTTTTCCATCTGGTTTTCCTTGTGAACTCGATCAGCCAACCAAGAGGGTGACACTCTCTTGGTATCTGGCCTCTTTGAGTAATATATATTCAGGTGGGACCCTCACCCCACCCTTTGATTTCTCAAAAAAAAGGTATTATGTATTCTGTTATCAGCATTATATGACGTACCTCGGGAAGGCACTTCTTTATTCTTTTGCCAGTCTGAGAAGCATCGTCTGATGAACCAGTTGATATATCTGCAACACGACATGGCCATGAGACGCCAACAAAGGAAACAGCAACCCAAGAACGAGTACATCAATACAGATCTAGTTATGACCATCGTGCAGCTTTTGTGCGCATTACAAAAACAAACATGTTTCAGTTTGTAAGAAGAAAAGGGATTTTAATCGGCCGTAGCTATTCTTGCAAAACATTGCAGTCTTGGCAATCCAATCCTGTAGAACATGACAGTAGAGCACATGATTCAGTGAGCATGGGCATCTTTGCACTGCCCCTGCCAATTTATTTATTTATTTTTTGTATATATTTATATCTATATCTACTAATAAAGCAAGGTGCGTTTTTTCAATTTTTTCATCCGTTCACCCCATATTATTTTTTCTGAATTTTTTTACTATCCGAGGTGGTACTAATTTTCCATCCATTCGTGGTTGGCCTCACATGATTTTTTGTCGATTTTAACGCCTCGCCTGTGGCCGGCCCATCTAGGTCGTGTCAGGCAGCCCAATAGCAGTCTGAGATGGGGAGGCAAAAATATTTGCTATTATAAGGAATTGAACTCACAACCTCCAATAAAGGACTTTCACCAACCGCCAACTGAGCTAGAACGTCTTCTACTGGTTTTGTACTGTAAGTTTATCTATTGAATAGTACCACATCGCCCTTTTACGTCCAACCTCATCAATTTATATACGTCTTCAAGTTAGTAGGTAACAATCAACTCAATAAGCTAGACCGGGAATCAAAATACGTATAAGGAGAAAGGAAAGGATTGAAAAGAAGGAATAAAACTAGGGAAGGAAAGGAATTTAAAGAAAGAATAAAATAAAATTCGATGTGCCCTTAAGAAGGAAAGAAAAGGAATTAATAGAGCGAACAAATTTGGCGGATTAAAAGAAGAAATGGACTCTATATGGCTACCTGCATGATGGATGAAGGGGCCGGAAAGTGAATAAATTTGGTGGATTAAAAGAAGGAATGAACTCTATATATTGCTGCATGCATGGATGAAGGGGGGCAGGTGTTGTTTGGAGTCATATGGGCCGTATTTGCAATACCAAGAAAATAAAGGTACACGAGGTGCCAAATAATACATCACATGTACATTGTTTCAGGTGATTTCGTGTAAGGTGTAACTGATCGACCCTTTCGTGAGGTGACAATAGTAAAAATAACTATGAGTATCTCTCTGTGAGAGAGAGAGGGAGAGGATGAACTATTAATCCAACGCCCACGGAAATCAGTGGTGATACAATACAACCATCAACTATGAGTTTGTTGTAGCCTAAACAACATGGATCCATTTTCTAGGAGACAAATTCACTAATTTCCCTGAAAAATGTCATTGACATCGGAAAATATATTGTTGTTATAGTTGAAGAGTTTTTATATTTTTGGACCTACTTTCGTTACTCATTAAAAAATTAAGACCGTCCTTCTAGATCTAATATTGATATGACTGCTAAAACATTTCATTTATTTCCCCACAAATCTTAGTAATACAAAATTTTGCATGAAGTGCAATATGTTTTGCAGTGCTCACTACATTTTTTCTCCCATTGCAACACATGATCTCAGGTAGGTGAGTTTCATCTTTCGTTGGTGGTGTTTCACTAATTATGTCCCGCGTCATCTACATCAACATAGTGCGCTCATGGTCGGAGGGGGGTGAACAAGGAGAGACGTCTGATCGACCAGCCAGTGCCCATCACCGACACACTCCACTCTTGGGCATCGCTAGGAAGAAGCCGTCACTGCATGATCCGTTGGCACCTGTCACCAATGCACCACCAATCGAACTCATCGCCCGGTGTTTCCGATAAGAAATCCTCAATCCTCACTTTTCCTATAATATTAGCCGAAGGATAAGGATAAGTGTGCAATGCTCCTCATCATATCCAACATAACCGACGCTCCATATAATGGTACCTTGACCGGGACAATGGTTGTTCATAGTAAGCAACATTTATTTCGTAGCAAAGCACGAGCATTGTCTACAAAATTACAAGTTGGTGTAGGAAGGTCTTGTGAAAGTGGCGTGCTAGACTGTGTTTATCAAACTCATCCCCTTGGAATTGAGAGCATGCATTGTTAATTGGTGGATAACAAGACCACCATCTGCGATGGTGATGAAGAGGAGAAGTGGCAACACAGATGGATCTCAAGCAACGTGCGAGGATTTTTGTTCTCCCGTTACAACGGGCACATTTACTAGTGAAACTAAAGCAGAGAGGGACACGGCGAACAGAGAGGCGGAGGGGCTGTGGCTTACGGCGGCCTTGGATTTGCCGGTGACGAGGATCCTGCTCCAGGGACGCCATAAGACAGTTGGGCGCTAGTAGACCCATGAACGATGCATCCACGCGGGAAATCCCTCTCTTTTCTGCTCTGCCTCCGCCTCTCCGTCCGATTCTGGATCGATCCCGAGCCCTGTGTGGACTCTCGACCTCAGTTTCGGTTGGAATCTAACTCCGGAAGGAGATCGCCTCTGACGCCGCCTTTCCCCCTTGCAGAGTAGTAGTAGGAGTAATTTAAAAAAATACAACCTCGGGTTTTAAAACGACCCGGATCAGCGAGTTCAGGGTTTCCTCCTCCTCCACCCCCGCTGGGACCAGCAAGGCCGGCCGCCGGCGCCGCCTCCCGCCGCCCCGCCTCGACCTCCTCAACCAATTCTGCAAGCTAGCTTCTCCCATGGCGGCGGAGGGGCAGGAAAAGGAGAAGATGGTGATGTTGCGGAGCGAGGACGGCGTGGACTTCGTGCTGTCAGAGTCCGAGGCAGAGGCCCAGTGCGGCAGGAAAATCAAAATAATGATGAAGCACGACTTCGAGAACCACATCATCCCTTCCGGCGACGGCGGCGGCGGCGAAATCAACTACTGCCTCATCCGCCTCCCCGTCCGAGGCGACACACTCTCCAAGGTGATAGACTACTCCAAGATGCACGCCTCCGGATCCCACGACTTTGACCCACTGGGATGCGGACTTCATCGCTGCTTTCAACCACGAGGCCCTCTTCGATCTCATCCTGGTGAGTACGTACATACATACTTTCACATTGAGCTTATTCGTGAGAATTCTAAACTTTTGATTCAAGAATAGTAGAGAGGAACTTATGTCACCACAAACAAAACTAAAAGTGTTGGATTTCAATCTGGTGTTAAAGATCATAAATCGATTTGCTACACCCTCCCCAGTATGAAACCAAGGATATGTAAGATTTTGGTCCAAGGCATCGTCGGTTCCTAGCTCCGCCACTGGTATTATCTATGATATGAGTCATGCCCATATAGCAACAAACAGTTTTGCTCATTCGAATGAGAATTATCTTAGAGCTCAATCAACTCCTTAGCAAAAAGACGCCATATCTCATTCATTTCTTTAAGCTTTGCATTACTACTTGCAGGCTTCGGAATATCTTCAAATAAGAGGACTGATTGACCTAGCTTGCCAGACTATTGCTAGTAAGATAAAGGGGAAATCTCCGCGTGAAATTTGTAATATCTTCAACATCAAGAGTGTCTTTCCTCCGGAATTAGATGGAGAAATGATAGCAAAGCGATTGCAAGATTCCACAACTTGTTCGAGCGACAAGGTATGTTCCTTGATTGATCCACTCTTTTCACGTAATGCAACCTTACCACTATAGAGTCATTTATCTTATGACTTGTTTCATTGTGACATCAATAACAAAATCCTATGGTCATCTTCTACACTTATTCCATTGTTGCTCTGGCGGATTAACAACAAAGTCTTACCCTCGTGTTGTGGACAAGCAGGAGTTGCCATGCAGTGAGACCCAATGTTTAATGCAAGAGCTCGAATTCGAGGAAAAGGCTTTGCAGGCTCTTGACATAGTTCGATGTCAAGAGTTTACGGGATACGATCCTAAGGTCAACGCTTACACCCGTACCCGATTCGACATATTCAACCTAGCCTTCTTTGACCTTGACAAAGAGTGTGAGTATTTTCATAATTGTTTCATTCGTTAATCTTCTTTAGGTACTCATTTGATGAGCATACATGTTGGTTTTGATTTGTGATTGTGGCCTCTATCCACAGCTGATTTTTGTCGTGGTCCGCGGCTTAACATGATTCCTTCACCAATACGTAACTCGATCGTAGGATCATGTGTAAATGTCATTACCTTGAAGGTAAAGGAATCGGAAGTTGGCTTCCCGATAAAAGTTTTTGGTACCGTTGTAGCAAGAGACCAGGTCGACTATAGATGTGTTTATCTCTTCAGGCGTGAAAGGGATGATCCCCAACTCATCACCTCGGTGGTATGTATTTGTGCCTCCAATCTTTTCCTATGCTTATGTATGGCTTCAAAACACATGGAAAGATTATTTTGGTTGAATTTTCTTTTTGCAGGATGGCAAGTTAACTTTGATGGATCCATGCCGAGGGCTTGTTCCGGCAGACAGAATATATTTTGAGATGAATTTAAAGATAGTCCGTGATGGAGGTGAGGTTGAAGATTTCAGCAAAGGTGTGATTGTTTTCAACAGGGCCCGCCTCCCTAATGATAAGCAGACCATGGGTGTGAGTCTAAATAGTTATCTGAGTAGGGTGGAAGTGAGATGTGCGTATGTTGTATATCCCATTGAAGCTACCATTGAAGTCAATATTTTGAAGGGACCGTGTAGTGTCTCAAGAGTTGCCGCCTGGACTACCAAGAATTATGAGTATAGTATGGATCTTTACAACGGTGGTGAAGCAGCAGCAGAGATTGAGGCAGGAACCGTTCCCTTGAGTCGGCATGTTGTAGCTGTCCCACTTGGTAGAAAGTTGGTGCTCCTTGTCACCGGTCGTAGCGTTGGTGATGTTTTTAATAAAAACATCATCGTACCTTTAGGACGATCCAATGAGATGATGCATTATAGATTAGGTTCCGCACTTGTGGAGGTGAAACTTGTCTGGACAGCTGTTCCCAGACGCGAGAGGCAAGATATGATCAAGGATGTGGGAGACGAGAGCCTTTTGATGTGATGCGGCTGAGCATCTGTTTGATGGATGGAAATCGACACCTCGAAAGTATTCTGTATTCTGGAAAGTATCTTTATTTTCTAGCAGACGGCTGTAGATTCCATGTACTCGTATCTTTATATTTTGGAATAAAGGTGTTTGATTTACTACTCTGTTATTCCTGCCAAAGAGTGTCTTTTTTAATGGATGGAAATCGACATCTCGAATTATTATTATCACTAGGAATAACTTAGATTCGGATAGTAGCGCAAAGCTAAGTAAAAAAAAACCAACGTTGCTTAACTGAGACAAAAATACGGTGACTTCAACAGTCAACATTGTGTTTTTCAATCAAGGTGAAAAACTGTATACAAAACAGTTGCATAGGATGTATACAGGCAAAATGTACTGCCAAAGATGGGCAGCGCAAAGTGGATACAATGATTAGCTGAGTCTAGCCGAGCTGAACCAAAATATTTAAGCTGGAACGCTGTATCCAAATTGTATCAGCGTAAATCTGTAGTGCAAACAGAACGTTTTGGACCCAGCCATTCTACTACATCATTATGTATTCGTAGAATAAACAGTAAAGTAGTTCCTGCTTATATAAAATGCACCATGGAAGAATGAACAGAAAGAAAGCGTGCTCTGCTTTTATGGAACATATTCTGAAAATCAAAAAATGGAAACCAACATTAGCAAGTACAAATGGAGCAGAAATTTGAGAGCACAGATAACTATATATATATATATATATATATATATATATATATATATATATATATATATATATATATATAAACATACACGAGAATCAAGTATTTCGGACTTACGACCTCCTTGGCTCCTTCAACAACAGGAAGTACCTGTCTAAAATATAGGCAAAAATGATGATTGGCATTCGGCGGTTCACATAGAAAAACTGAAACGGTATTTTCACAATTATTTGCCAAACAATTATGACATCCATGGTACACCACCTTTGCTAAAATGAAGTCTAAGTTGGGTGTTTGCAATGCAAAAAAAAAAAACTTTCAAATGCTGTCAGAAGAAAATTAAAGCTCTACATAAATCCCATCACTTGTGTACTACACACAAAAGCATAGCAACAAATGATACATCTAAATAAAAGATGACGGCAGATATTGGATGATTAATCAAAACCAAAGCACGGCTAAGCACCAAAAAAAATTAAACCCACCTGCAAACTATGATGCCAACAATAATAATTAAGAAAGAGTCAGTAAAACATGACCAATCATGGTGGATGATAAGTACATGACATGTGGACACTGCATTAGCAAGAGGGGGTATATGAGGTACCATACAAATTAAAAGACAAAAAAGAGTTGTGCACGCATGATCAGGCTTTATAGCAGGAGATCCTGGAGCAACTCCAATGCCAAACTGTATACCCCCACACAAAAATAAGAGAAGCATAGCCATTCTGAGATGCTTAATAGAAGAGAAAACTAAGGGGTATATTCCAGAGCAATAGATATGGACATACATAGCGAAGTGTAACAATGGTGGAAGAGGCAAAATGAGCCGGGGATGAAAGAGTGAGGAGAGAGCCGATGCGCTGCCGTCAGCCGGAAACGTTTCAATGACGATCAAACCCCTTTGACCAAACGGAAACGGCACGGAAGGGTATTTCCATAATGGCACATGACGGAAGAGGGGCATAATTGAGCATGTTTTTATTTAGAGGTAAAGATGAGGTCAGACAAAAATTAGGGGGAAAATGGAAATGTCCCAATATGTTATTGTCATGCAAGCTAGCTGCAGCAAGGTGCTACCTATTATCCTTGTTACGTGTTATGATGAAAATATTATATTATTCTCATAAATTGTTTGATCTAAAATTACAAGACAGGTGCTACCAATTTTTTTAGAAATACGTAATCTCAATATGTTAATTTGAATAGAAGTGGTTCAGCATGGTCATTTGCCATTGAGGGCAAAATCGTCATTTTGCTTACTTTGACAGAAGTGGTTCACACCGACTTAAACGGTTGATGACAAATTGGCAAAGAAACGAGCTTGTAAGCAGCACAAGAGCAACATTGGTTTGTTCGATGGCAAATGAGCAATAGCCGAGATTGCACTACAAGAAATGTGTTAATACATGACGGACTCGGACTGTCACAATTATGCGCATAACCGTCAAGATAGGGCATTCATGACGAATTCTGAATCCGTCATGTATATCGCGTCATAATTTGGCCACCATGCACTCCTTGACGGATTGCCAAATCCGTCATGGATCCATGACGGTTCTTGACCGTCACAGGTTAGTATTAGATAACGGCGTTAACCATGCATTTCACATCAACGTATTACATGGCGGCCAACAAGGATCTGACATGGCGGCCCAATTGTTTCAAAATTTGGCCCAATAATTTTGTTATAGCCTTTGTGGCAAATGGCCCAAATAGAATTCCAGCCCATGAATTAGCCCAAATAGGGTTTCAAACTAAGTTTTTATAGCTCTATATTCTTTCGACCGAATCAGCTGCCAATTAGTTTGGGTCCAATTCGTACTTACAGACCATTAGATTTCCTTAATATTTCTGCACATATCATCGTCAAATAAAAGCAAATTACATAAGGAGCAAAGGCAAAGCGGACCGCTAAAAACTAAAATATTACAAAAGGTCATTTGCAACGAAGGCCACAACCCCCCGCTCCATCTCCGCCCATCGCTCGCCGGAGATTCTCCACATCCCGTCTATTCATGATGGATGGCGCGACTCCGGTGTCCTTGGCGCTGCTCGCCGTTTTAGCTCGATTTGGTGCCACTTTAGTACATCAGATGCGCGGAGCTGGACGGGATTACAAGGAGTGGCCGCACCAGTATCCATTGCACTGGGACCTCGAGCACCAGTACCCATTGCCCTGGGATCTCGTCGTCCAAGCAATAGTTCAGCGCGCCCACCAACGAGCCCGCTCACTCGACATGGTGACACGGGCACAACCTGCATCAAGGGCACCGACGCCTGGATCAGGCCGGTGGGGAGAGAAAGGGGTAGGGGACGCCTGGATCAGGCAGGTGGGGAGAGAAAGGGGTAGGGGAGGCTAGAGGTGAGGGATGGATATGACCGCGCTGTGATCTACCCACAGTTGTCGTGGGCTCATAGATCTCGGCGGGATTCGGCTGGGGGTGAGGGCACTGCAGCGATGCAGTGTGCATAGGGGCGCGGCCGGTTGTGGGGTAGATGGGCACGGTGGGAGGCGGGGGATGTGGGCAGGACGGCGAGGAGCCAGAAGGGGAGGAGGTGAGTACGGCCGGCTGGCAGCGAGTGGTGCGGCTGGAGAGGGTGCTGGTTCAACGGCGAGATTTGGGGAACCAGAGGAGTCTGGGAGGATTTCTCTGGAAGAGAAGACAACACGTGGGTGGGCTGCAGAACAGACTAGAAAGAGGGGGAGGTTTGCTAGCCGTCGGATCTCAGAGTATCTGATGGTTTGGAATAGCGATCCGTGGGACGGTATGTTCAACCAATCACAGCGCGAGTTTTCCCTCACACTGGATTGCCACATCAGCAGGAGTTGTTATTTCTTCTAACAAAAACAGCAGCATGTCGTGACGGTTTGGACGACGCTAAAAAAACAAAGCAAAGCCGGATCACTTTTTTTTTTGAGGGAAAGCCATCATGGCGGTTTATATTTCATGTGAAAATAAGGATACATCGTTTGATAGGACGTCCACTAGAAAACCCGGAGGCTCCGACTTCCAAACAATAGTTCGAGAGGACTCCGAATTCCTAGCCAACACATCGGCCGCCATATTGGCTTCTCTAGGACAGTGATTAAAAACAATAAAACTAAAATTACGAGCTAAGAAAGTACATTCTTCATAGATTGCCACTGCATGTCTGAGGAAGTTCCCGCCGTTCTGCATAACATCAATCACCTCCATGCAGTCTGCTTCGACATAAAGTTTGTTGCAACCCATATCATTAGCAAGTAACAACCCATTTCTCAGAGCCCTTGCTTCTGCCATCGCCGCATCCTCCACAAAGGTAATGTCCCCGCATGAAGCAACTATAAAATTTCCCATGTCATCTCGCAGGATAGCTCCTGTACTCGCAGAGCCGCTGTCCATCTCAAATCCCTTGTCGATGTTCAATTTTATAATTCCCTCAGGTGGCCTCTCCCAGCCGTGTCTCCTGATCTTTGTCTTCTTATTTCTAGCTCTTGTGAAATTTTTAGCTAGAGCTGCAATAGCCTGCGCCGATCTGGACGGGTCCTGTAGAAACTCCTCGTGGGTGTAGCGGCGACACTCCCACCACACATACCATATAGTGGTTGCCACCAGTGCATTGCGTTGGACTCCCGTCACCGTTGCCTGTAGGCTGCTCTTGGACAGAAACATGTCAGCTAGTACTGATCCTCCCTCACGTTGTGCAGTACATACCTCAGCCACCAATTGTCCTAGACCTAGGATGCGCCACACATCTTGTACTCGTGGGCATAAGAATAGGGCATGTTTAATACTCTCACAATCGATACTACACATAGGACATTGCAAACTCGTGATCATATGTCTATTTGCTAGAACCCCCAGACAAGGGATGGCTCCAAGTAAGGCTCTCCACACATGAATCTTTATCTTGGCTGGTACACTTAATTTCCAAATGGTACTCCAAATAGGACTAGTACTTGAGGATTGAACTGAGTTTGTCATTCTCAACTTTCGTCCATGTTGGTGTTCCCACTCTTCATGATAAGCTGACCGTACAGAAAAAATACCGTTCTTATTGCAGTGCCAAGAGACAAAATCATTCATCATACCTATAGCCAAAGGTATATTCAGAATACGATGTACATCGACTGGCCAAAATAATTCATTAAGCAACTGCTCATCCCAAACTCTATTCTCTTCATCTATCAACTCAGAGACACGTGTGATAACAATATTACCCCTCGGGGTCATTACTCCCCGTGTAGGGCTGGTTGGGATCCATGGATCCTCCCATATGTTTATTTGAGAGCCATCCCCTACTCTCCATATATGCCCTCTC